AGTGAAGGGACCTCAACAGGGGGAAGAAGTAACCACCCTATGAACATTCTACAAGGGTTCTATTTAACACCCTCATTTATTTTACAAGGGTAATATTCTACACCCTCTACTCATTTTATATTATTATTCATTTACCTGTTTAAGTATTAGATATATGTTTGTGCTCATTGCATTTCTACAACCTTTATGTACATTCTGATTACTCATTTGTCCTGGCCAGAAGAAGATTCTGAGGGTAACATAATTCAACAAGAATCCTTTACAATAGTCTGGTATCCAAGTAAGCTGAACCGGTTGGCATACAGGGACAGCAGGTTGGGGTTTAGGAACGACAGATACTTTCGCGATTTCTCCAATTTAGAAGATTTGTTAACAATTGCAATTTTAGCTTATAGCGCGTTCTCTGGTACTGATTACAGCAGCTATAACCCATACAATTTCTTAAATTAACACCGGTATAAGCCTAATTATGTCTTGGCCATTCCCTCCTATTCTCACGTGCAGGCAGCGTCTACTGATCCTACTTCTCACTGTTATCCTGCTATGTATCCCATTGGCTATTTTGTTCCTCTGTAATGACTTCCCCTTGCCACCCTCACACCCTACATCCACTAAGAATACCCCGCTAACACCAACAGCCCATACCCCACCTATTGACCGACACAAACGATCCCTACCTCTCCCATCCCCCTCACCTCCTTGTAACTCTGATTTTCTCTATTTAACCCAAGCAATCACTCTGTGTATTCCATTATCCACAGCCACCACGGTTACACTCCCCTACGATGTTTTGCCCTCGAACCCTGCCCATGGTCGTTACACGCCATCTGATCTGAAAGAGCATGTTTGGTACTTAACGTGGGGATCTTATTCTCAATGGAAGTGGAGCAGTCTTGTTGCTGAAACAGGCGATGATTGGTCATCCTACTCCAAAGGAGTAGCTACAATTTGGCGTACCAGAATCAAATTGATAAAACAAGGCGGATCCAAAACAGGCCCTTTGACTTTCATAATTAGCCCAATAAACTCTCTCGGATGTACCCTATTTGTACTTGCTCCCTGGATTAGTGGAAGGTACTACTGGACAGTGCACCTTTGTGTCCGTAATATTACATCACCTACCTCTACGGTCTTTGATATTGTCGGGCTAAGTAAATCTCACCCCACTCCTGTGTTAACTGACATGAATAAAGTAAATAAACCCTCACCAGCAATAACTATTGACACTAAAAGCCCTTCTGTTGATGAGACATTTCAGACGGTTACCGGCATTTCCGCCAGCACTAACAATTGGTTACTCCTGGCAGAACAAGCTGCCAATGCTTCAGATCAAGATTGTCTTGTTTGCCTTTCAGCTCGTCCTACGCTCCGTATTGTACCACCTCCGATCCCTCCAAAATGTTTCCTCCATTTGATGAACGGGACTTCCCTAAATTCTAATTGTACTAAGTTTGGACAAATCTTTCCAAAGCAAAAACCAGGTGATGACATTGGTACGCCCTTCTTTTCAAACACTGTGGCCCCTAATAACTTCAGTTGTATTCATCTAATTGGACAAGGCGGTCCTTTTCTAGGAAATGTCACCACAAATTGGTGCGTTAATACAACCGTGTCAGTTTCATCACAATTCAAACCCAAAAAGCGTGCCAATCTATGGTGGTGGTGTGGTGCTCCACAACTCTATAATGGTTTTCCCAGGAACTCTTCAGGTTTGTGTGCCCTTATTACTTTACTGTTACCTGTCACTGTTACTCCTGTAACACTTCGTGATACCCCTATTTCCAGCTCTTACTCTAGCATACGGCGAAAACGATCTGTACCAGCTTTACCTGCATTTCACAATCCCACTTATATAGATGCCATTGGCGTCCCCAGAGGTGTTCCCGACGAATACAAATTAGTTCACCAATTAGCCGCCGGATGGGAATCTATTTTTGTCTGGATAACTCCCAATAAAAATGTCGACCGCATTAACTACATCCATTTCAATGTTCAACTCTTAAGTAACTACACTCGTACTGCCCTTGAGGCAGTTCACCAACAACTATCGGCTACTTCCTTGATGGCGTTCCAAAACAGAATTGCTGTAGACATGCTGTTAGCTGAAAAAGGGGGCGTGTGTGCCATGTTTTCTCACGATTGCTGTGTTTACATACCCAACAATACGGCCTCGGACGGTAGCTTAACTAAGGCCTTAGACGGCCTCCGCTCTTTGACAGAAAAAATGAAATCCCACTCTGGTGTAGACACCTCCATGTGGGACTCTTGGCTTGATGTATTTGGTAAATACAAATCGCTCGTTTCCTCCGTCCTGGTGTCCATGTCTGTCTTCGCTGCCATTCTTGTTACATGCGGTTGTTGCTGTATCCCCTGTCTTAGGCAACTAGTCCAGAGATTGATTACCATTGCCATCTCTCCTCCACCTGCTGACCCAATTATCCAGATGCCCTTGTTACTAGCCAATCCTAACATCTATTTGGGAGGGGAACCCTCTGATGAT